GAGGAGGAGAAGAAAGATGAGGAGAAAGTGAGGAAGAGGAAGAGTTCATGTTTCATTAAGGTTTAGATTGGAGTCAGGGTCCCGGGAAGGCAGTGTGTTAATGAGGGTCCTCACAAGTACAGTCAGACAAACCTCTGTGTGTGTGTGTGTTACAGGGTGAGACGAAGATCTTGAAGCTGAAGAACCTTCGTCCTCAGGATTACGCCGGCTACACCTGCATCTCCTCCGTCAGGAGCGTCTGTGGCATCGGAGACAAAAGCGCCCACTTCAGTCTGAACAACAGGACAGGTAACACACACACACACACAAACCGACACACACACACACACGGTTCTAATTTAAACCCTAAACCACAGTCAGGATGTGAACCCTGAAATTTAGAGTTGGACTGTGTGGGGACCAGACTTCAGAAATGAGTCCCCACAATGTAGGTGTGTTTATAGGTCCCCACTACGTCATATTTATATATATATATACATACATACATACATACACACACACACACACACACACACACACACACACACACACACACACACACACACACACACACACAAACCTGGACCATACTCGTCCTAGTTCTGAACCCTGACATTTAAGAGCTTGCAGGGACCAGATTTCACTGCTTCACTGTGTGACAGTAAGTTTAAATAAAACATAAAGATGTACTTTCTGGTTTCTGTCTAAAAGGAATTTAATTTAAAATGTTGCTTACATCAAACACAGACTAAGACAGAATTAGTAAATTGAATTTATTGAAATTTATCACGTTTTTGAGTTTTTAGATTATAGATTTAATAAAGTTATTCTAAAATTTGTTTACATTTTAATATATTTCTCATTATAACTATCTATATCTTTACTTTCTTCACCGTCCTGTCATTTTCATTTCATTTATTTCACGTGAAACATTTTTTCAAGTCTGTCAAATAAATAAAAATAGACAAAAATTTAGAAATCACAAAAAGAAAAAAACAATTTATTTTGTCAAAATAATTATATTTTTTCATCTTATTGTTTTAATAAATAAATCAGAATTTTGAGATTTCATCTCATGATTGTATTACTGTTCTGTTGTGTTTTGACAGAGTTTATGATTTCATATTTCTTTAAACCTGCTCTCGTGTTCAGATGGATGTAAATCATAAATAAATCATCCGCTGCAGCTCTCTGACCTGTACAGTAGATCCTTCCTCCTCGCCCCAGTGGCTGATGGGATTTACATGATGTCAGCTTAGCGGAGGTCGACTCAGCTATTTTTATCGCCCTGCTTATTATTTCTGCGTTTGCTGCTTTTCTGCAGCTGGTGGAGGGAGGCGGCTCTCTACTCCTCTGAATCTGAGGAAGCTTTTTAAAACTGCAGCACGACGGATTATTTACACACAAAGACGTATTTAAAACCTCTTTTAAAATGGGACAAATGTAAACATTATTCTGAGAGAAGTCCCATGATGCACCTGACCAACGAGACAAAAAACATTTTATATCTTTTTCACAGAAAACTTAATCAAATAAGAACCGTAATCATCAACTCTTTACTTCGATTTAACATTATGAATCATTCATATCTCAGAATCCATTCATGAGTCAAACTAATCATTGATATCTTTTATTTCAAAGCAAACATGTCAATCGTTTCATATCTTCAGATCATTTGAAGACGACATTTTTCACGAATTATTCAAGAAAATAATTAAAAAATGAATCATTAGTTGCAGCTTTAGTTGTTACGAAAGTTGTATTTTGTGTGTTACATATATCTGATTTAGATCTTTCTTTGTTTACTTCCTACGTTTATGATTTCATCCAACATGAAGGAAACGGATTGTTTAACTCTATTCTCCATTCATTATTGACACATGATGATTTTCAGTCAACAAAGAGACATAAAGTTCATTCTTTCACTCACATATTCATCCAATTTATAGTTTTTTAATATATTTTGTTGCTTTTTAAAGAAAATCACTGCGACGTCATGGAAACATAAACGGATCACAAAAGCATAAAACGCATGAATAAAAATATAATGAAGATAAAATATGAAGTATTAAGAGAAGACAAAATTAAAGTGAAGGAGGAATAATAAGTGTGAAGTTGATTCCCTCCTCCAGCTCCTCCCTCCGTTAAGCTCCTCCTGGACGACCCCCTGGTGGTGAACCCGGGGGAGACGATCACTCTGGTGTGCGTGCCGTCGGGCGGAGACCCTCCTCCCTCCCTGGTGTGGGTGAGGCCCAGAGGGGAGGAGCTCCCGAAGAAGAGCGTCGTCAACGGCGGCACGCTGACCGTCCCGGCCGTCACCGTGGACGACGGCGGCGCCTACAGCTGTGTGGCGTCGAACAACGTGGGAAACCCCGCCAAGAAGTCCACGACCATCCTGGTCAGAGGTACGACTTCAACAGGAACCTCTCTCCGTTTAATCCACCAAGCACTGACATCACATCCTGTCCGCTGACATCACATCCTGTCCGCTGACATCACATCCTGTCCCCTGACATCACATCCTGTCCGCTGACATCACATCCTGTCCCCTGACATCACATCCTGTCCCCTGACATCACATCCTGTCTGCTGACATCACATCCTGTCTGACCCCCACGTGGTACTGCGTTGTTATGGTGGCAGTACTTCTTAGAGGGAACACGGTTCACTGACCATGAGCAGAGTTGTGTCCCCCGTGTTGACGTCACACTGAACCACTGGTCCTGTTGAGTTGTCCTTTAGTCCAAGAAGAGTCCATGACTGTGTTCATGTAACTAAGTCCCTCAGTATAAGCAAAGTTAGTGTAAAAAGCGGCGTTATAAAGTCCCTAAGTCGAGCGGTGTAAGAAGTACTTCTCTGCTCCTCGTCTGGTGAAATGAGGTGAAATTGCGTCAGATGTGAGTCGCTCTATTTCTGGAGAGAACCTGGTTCCTGTGGGATTCCTCTGCAGCTCCACAGTCGTCTCACCTGTTGCATGGAGTCTTTTTCTTTCTCTCTTTTGTGTTTCCGTCTGATGGCGTTCAGGTGAGTCCTCGGCTTCAGTCGCTGCAGCTACAAAAGATACACATTCATGTTTTCACTTGTTGTTCTGGAGGAACAGGCTGCTGCAGAAAGAGACCAGAATAGATCCGACACATCCGACAACAAAACGCAGCGTTTATCTGCGTCTGTGCAGACGCTAAGCTCTCCCTTTATTTCACTCTTTCACCGATCAAATCCTCCTCTTCTTCTCTGCGCCGTGTCGGCGTTTTCCCTGCAGGCGCCATGAAGAAGATGACATCATTGATGAGTCGGCGTGAGTCTGAGAGGACGAGAAGAAAATCAGCAATAACTGATAACGTCTGGTTTCAACTCGTTCAAGTTCATTTCAAAAACAGCAGAAAGACATGAAACACTTAAAAATATAAAAATATAGTAATCACCGCATCATGTATCTTTCTCTGTTCTAAAAACATTTAAGTTGCAATCCTTCAATTCTGATTTATTAAGATTTTTCTATTTCAGTGAAAACTAATCTAAACTAAACAGACATTTATTTGAATGATAAATGCTGATTATTAGCTATTTAAAGGTTATCTACGTATAACATATTATTCATATCTGTCATGCTAGCTGTTTCCCCCTGCTTCCAGTCTTTATGCTAAGCTAGGCTAACCTGGCCTCCAGCTCTGAACTGTTTCTTTCTTGTGTTTCCTTCGTTCACTTTGTTTTATTCATTCAGCATGACTCACCTGTGTGTGTGTGTGTGTGTGTGTGTGTGTGTGTGTGTGTGTGTGTGTGT